TAATAGATGACTTAAAAATAATCTGAATAGCTAAGAATTTAATATAGGATAAAAACGTATTTCATTTTGCTGGGGAAAGAATGGTTTATTTAATAAATGGTCTGGGAGAAACTGACACAATGCAAACAAAATTAGATCCCTGCATTACACCATATACAAAAAAATTAATTCAAGGTGGATAAAAATTACATGTGGAAAAAGAAATATTTTACCAAAAAATTGTGTAAAATACTTGTTTTATTTGGGGATGGAGAGGACTTCCTAACCAAGAGAGGAAACATAGATGTCACAAAGGAAAAGATACATACATTCAGCTATAAAAAGTTCAAAATATTTGCACAGCAAAAGATACTATATATGTAAAGTCAGAAAGTAAACAACCAGCCAAGGAAAATAGTTACAACAGATATGATCAATGAAAGGCTTTATCTCAACTGTGCAAACATTGCCTAAAAAGTAATAGGAAAAGCCAACAAATCCACACACAAAAATTTCACAGAATAGGAAACCTAAATGACCTCAGCTTCATTAATTGTTGCTGTTGTTAGGTGTCACTGAGTTGGCTTCAACTCACTGAGATCTTACGTGTAACAGAACGAAAGGCCGTCTGGTCCTACGCCATCCTCACGATCGTAAGGTGTGAAGACACTGTTGCTGCCGCTGCATCGATCCATCTCAGTGAAGGTCCCCCTCTTTTTCACTGACCTTTTTGCTCTACCAAGCATGGTGTCCTTTTGCAGTCATTGGTCTTCCCTGATGATGTGTCCAAAGCAACCACGATGAGGTCTCATCACACATGCTTCTAAGGAGCATTCTGGCTGTACTAGCTTCAAGACTGGTTTGGTCCTTCTTCTGGCAGTCCATGGCACAGTCAACATTCTTTGACAAACACCACAACAACAATACAAACATGTCAGTTAATTCTTGGGTCTTCCTTTCACATCGTCCAGCTTTCCCATGCATATTAGGATTTTAAAGAGGCCTTATGGGACATATAAAAAGATGGCGGACTAGGCAGAAGGATTGCACAGACCCTCTTCAACTAAGAAAAGGGAAACCAATTAACACAGACACAGAAGATAAT